ATATTCCCATTGGTTCATTGATTTTGCACCGATTAACCTGCGCTTAATTATTTGACATTATACGTAAATAAATGAATAAATGTATATAGATTTAATAGGCGCTTTGTGTGTTAATTATCTTATCGCTAATGGAGTAGCACGCAGCTGGAATCTGGCTGGGTTTGCCATGCGAGATGCGGAGTAAGAGAGAGCGAAACAATAAAGCTCTTCTCTTTACTTATTTTTTTTTTCAGGCTATAAATAAACTGTACTTTCCCAAATGGGGATTATTATAAATATACATATTTTTCTGGTTTAAAATGTGTTTTGCTTTGCGGATAAAACAAAAGCTGCTTATTTATGAACATGATAACAGATTTGTGATATTCCGTTTAAACGCTTTTCAACACTGGCATTTAGTGTTTAACAAATTCTCAATGATATTTGATTTTACAAATCAATTCGTTTTCATTTAATTCATGGAAAGAAGACTTTAACGAGCTGAAATCGTTTTCAAATTGGAATTTCGCGTAGCTTAAAACTTCAATTAGAATGTTCATCATAATTTTGAAGCATTATTATTTACAGTTGAAATAGAACTTGCTCTTTGTACCTTGGAACCATTCCATGTATAGCTTTTACTTTGGGAAGATGCGCGCGCTCAAAGTTTATGAAATGATCTAATATGCAATTGCTATACACATATACATATACATATACATCGGTTTGTTTACACAAGTGTGTGCATATGTGTGTGTGTGTGTGTTTGACGGCACAATTTCTAATCGGTGGCAATAAATCGACACTTGAGTCCAAGTGTCTTGCTTTTTGAATCAGATAAGCGACAATTATAAATTAAAAGCACACCAAACAGATTAATAAAACGTAAACGTAAACTTTAACAGCGCCTTATAAATAAGCCAAATGACTAATAATAAAATATGAAAGCACACGGAATCGACATCAAAGGCCGTAGTCACCCTGCCCCCCCATATTAACCCCCTGCACCCAATATTATCATCAACAACAAACTCATCCATGGGGCAGTACCGAAACCACATCAGTGGGCGTGGGCGTGGACCTGGACGTGGGCGTGGGCGGCATTCCTCAACAGTTTTTGTGCTTTTTTGGTTTTTTTTTTTGTTGCTTTTGTCGGGTTTCCGAGTTTCCGCTCGGGGCATTAACGCGCTTCAAGTTCGCTTTTGTTTTTTATTAAATGCATTATTAGCACGTTATTTATTAATTAAACACTTGAAGTTTTATACCCCTCGTAATCAGGCAACCTTCCACAACCCCTTCCAGCTACTCCCCCACCCCGTCCACAAACCCTTTGTGGGGGTCGCGCGCACAGATAAGCCCCTAGTTTTGACTAATGGAAATATGCCAGCGCGTTTTTATTCCGGCTGAGATAAGCTGGAATGCATAAAGAAATTTCCAGCGAACTAATAGAAATATATTCGTGGAAAGACAGCTTAAAGTAATACTTGATTCACGAGAAAAAAAAGGAGGAATATCTCAAATTGAAAGTGGGAAGCAAAGTGAGCAAAGTATGGCTAAAGATATGCATTGGATTTGTGGGGAAAGAACCTAAACTTAAGAACCTTATCTTAAGTTCTTCCCCATACAACTTGAACCAGCTGAACAGTTGGTTCGCTCAGCAGAGCTTTCACTGTACATTAGTTCATTGAATGGCCATTAAATAAATAGATTTGTTTGCATTTTAATTATGGTTAACACCAAGTTATCGACCAGTCGGCAATTAATCAGCGAACAACGCGCCAACTAATTGACAGCTTGTAGATGTTACGCTCTGACAGCTCGACTCGGGACCCGAGCTTGACTCCGACCAGGCCCCGGCACCGGAACATGCAACAGCTCCACAAAACAACATGGCAACAAGCAGCGCCGTGAACTGGAATCACAGTTGCGTGAACTGGAATCACAGTTGCGTGAACTGGAATCACACAGTTGCGTGAACTTGAACTACTGCCTCAGTAAATAGCTTTACGTCTTGCACTGTGCGAATAACAATTTGACAAATGTTCAGTTCTGTGTTACAGTGACAACTCTCTGTAATGAACCGTATTTTGTGTTGCTTGGACTGATGTCTGCTTAAAGGATATTTCAAGGAAGAAAGAATACAGGATAACCTTATTTACGTTAACTTTTTTAAACCTTAATATGACAATTTCATATTACTGTTATTTAATTATTTGATCTAGTTCTCGCCAAGATCAGGGAAAACAAATAGAAAAACCTTTTTTACTTCAACTTTTCTAGATCTTAATAATATATTTCTGTTTGTTTTTGATAAACCTTTAAAAGTTTCATATTACTGTTATCTAATTATGTGATCTCTTTCTCGTTAAGATTAAAGAAGAAAACATGCTTGGAACTAGTTCTTTTTATAAAATCTTCTCTTTGAAGATTACGAGATTTTCAGATTTGAGTCGTGAGTCACCTTTTGTGCCCATTTTTAAGATACTTTACTGGATATTATCCAATGTAAAAAAAAGAAAAAACAATGCCCGTATCATTTTACAAATTCTGTTTTCTAGTTTATAAAACTTCCATTGAATTGATGTGTGTGTGTGTGTGTGTGCGTGTGTGTGTGTGTGTGTCTCGTGTGTATGCTTTGGCACTTGAAGCACTTTGCCTAATTAGTTTACGATGCAGTGAGTGAGCCTGGCAATTTGCTCGTCTATCACAGCGGGCCATAGCCCCTCCCCTGCCGCATTTTCCTGCACACACACACACACACACATATATATATATATGTAGTTCAATAGTTCATGAACCGAAAAACAGAGCTGGGAATCTGCCTGCCCCCTGGGGCAGCTAGAGAGAATGACACATGAGCCGGCGGCAAATATTGTGTGTGTGTGCGTGTGTGTGTGTGTGTTAAGCAAACAAATAATAATAATTAAATATATGCCTAGTTCAACAGCTGTTCGTGGCGGGCAACAACTCACCATGAATCCAGTGTAGATGTGTGTGTAAAAACGTGTGTGTGAGGCCTTTCCAGCGAGCAGCTCGAACTCGAAACCGGGTGACGCTGGCTCCCACTTGGCCCGCTAACGGTAACGGTAGCGGTAACGCTGCCGGTTGCCAATTGTGCGTGCGTGCGAGCGAGCAGGCGATATTCTGTGTTGATGCTGTTGCTCCTGAAGCGACGGGGGGGATGGGGTGGAGTGGGTTTGGGGACAGGCAGCCGGAAATGTAGATTTTGGTTAATTTGCACTCGCACAGCTGGAAACGAAGAAATGACGTAGGTGAGAGACGAGCTGATGATTATGATTATGCAGAAGGATGAGAAGAAGAAGATCAAGTCGAAGTAGCAGATTGCAAAAGAAAACAAGAAAAAATAGCATACAATTGCAAAATCCTAAAACAAGAATGTCAAGCGTAACCGACTGCGCAATACTCTGCAGTTAGTTAGCCGAAGGCAGTGGCTTTCAAACTGTGACATGGAGAAGTTTTTAGATTTAACAAGTTGAGGCGGACGAGCAGTCGCTGATGGGCGTGGCTTAGCAAAACTTTACTCCCAAACATTACAAAGCGCGCCAATATACCCCTTTCAAACTTTGCGTACAGCGTGTAAAAAAGGCGCGAGCCACACAACAACAAATATTTTTCAGCCAACGTCAGCGAAAAAGCAACAAAGCAAAGTTAAAGCATCACCAGCAGCAGCGGCAGCGACAGCGGCAGCGTCAGCATCGGACAAGCGAGCAGGCAGCGGGCAGCGGACAGCGGGTGGGCGTGCAGCTTGTCATTTGAAGGGTGGCCGCAGCAGCCGCCGCTGCGTTGGTGGTGGGTGACGCTGCCGTCGCTGCTGCTGCGCTTTGTGATTCCTTCTCGGCAAAAATTTGTTGAGCCTTTGAGTCGCCGTCGTCGTCGTTGTCGTTGACGTCTTCGTTGTATTGTTCTACCCCAAAAAGTCCATAATAGAAACGGCCCCTTTCTGCTCCCCGCACACCCCCCTGTTGAACTATACGCTCACAAGTCGCCGTCATCGTCGTCTGCGTCTTTGCCCGCCGCCTCTGCCCGCTCTGGCTTTTTCACTTTGCTTTGTGTGCAAAACACAGTTGCAGCGCCGACGCCAACTAAAAACGACGTCGATGTCGACGTTGCTGTTGCTGTTGCCGTTGACAGCGACTGCGACGCCTTCATATGTACGTTTTTCACTAATAAATTTTAATGATTTCTACGCTGCGCATTACGACGACGACGACGACGACGACGTCGACTGCGATTCGGACGCTTGAAATGAAATTAGTGACACACTTAAATAATAATTAATTTTTGCACACTTGTTGTAGTTGTTGCTTACGTTTAGAGACTTGTAAATTTTTTGTCTTTGCTGTTGCTGTTGCTATTGTTGTTGTTGCTGTTGTTGTTGTCGCTGTGTGTGCGCGTTCAACTTGTCAGTGGGGGCTACAACAGGCAGCCCAACAATACGTTTTTTAATGCTCTTCTGTTTTGTCTTCTTCTTTTTTGCATACACTTTGCGCACACACACTCACACAAACGTTCGCCATACACATGCACAAGCACTTACACGCGCATACAAACATACACACACACACACTCACGCACTTCGCTTGCCTTGCGTTTTTTTTTTATTGCTGCGGAGATTTTGGAACAATTTTCGCTGACTTTGATACGCAATTTGTGTACACTTTCACACGCGTACTGCAGCGACACGGGCAAGTGAAAGTTTTACACTATAATTTTACCAAATATTATTAGCACAAATGCGTATTTTTTTTAGTTCTTAATGGTACAACAAAATTTCTCCGCGTATAGCAGAAGCCACCATTTTGCGACTCTCGATGAACAACAAGCAATGCAACTCTGTACAGGGTTGCAAGTCTGGCAGCACTGTATATTCGATAGGCAGCACTAAAATACCAACACGTCCGATACGCAACTGATGAACATGCCCTATCGATATTAAATGTTTTTATGTATTCTATGAGCAACATTCAACTGGTCACACTTGCTCAGTTCATTCTATTGTTTAGCGTCGTTCGCGTCTGTGTTGCACGCCAATTAAATAACAATTGCAGAGCATATCTAAGGAAAGACGTCTTTATAGCAATTGCTGTGTGAAAGTACACTTTTTTTTTCAATTCAAATTGACAATCAGCGTCTTGCATTTACCAACAACGGCTGCAAATATGTCAGATTGCGCCAGCGAAGTTGCCGATCAACAGACGGGTAAGCCACCTTTTTTTTTTTTTTTTTTGTGTTTTTTGTTTACCTTCGCCTTGCCCGCTCCATCAACATGCGAAAATTCAGTAGTGCAGGCGGCCGGCAATAGTTGAAGCCTAATTTGAATTAAATAAACGTAACGGGTGTGTGTGTGTGTGTGTGTGTGTGTGCGTGCGTGCGTGCGTGTTGCAGCTAGTTATGCATGGCAACCCCCCCGTACCCCGCTCCCACCCAGGGCCTACTCTTGTGGTTGCCTTGACAGTTTTGCTGTTATTGTCTATTGTGATTTGCGCAACGGAAGTGCAAAATCTAAATCAAAATATCGACACTTTTGACGCTTTACACGCCTACATTTTACCCCCTGGCTGTTGTTGGCCTTGTCTTGTCTTGCTTTATCAAATATAATATTTGTTCACGGTCAGGTTTAAGCCAATTTTCAATATAAGCTGCACTTAGTTGCCATTTTGCAACTGTGTCTGCTGAGCGGGGCGGGGCGGGGGTGGGGTATCTGTCCAATTACATTGCAAGATGGTCACATATTTTTTTTTGCGCCCCCTTATCAGAACTGTCTGACGTAGCCCTTATCAATTCACCAGAAGCTAACAGAAACAAAAAAAACCCTCGGCAAACACTTAATCAAAATTGTTGTTAACAAGTTTGAAAACGTGTCGACAATTAAATACCCCAGCAGACAGAATAGATATATATATCCTATACCATATAATGATCAATATTATATTTAGTCTATTTTTATATCATTTTTTTATTATATTTGGTTTGGCGCGTGCTAAAATCTTTTCATAAAACTTCTGTTTGGCGTCTTCGAAATATGAACGAAACTACCCGACCGTTTTGAAAAAGGGTAAATTGTAAAAAAACTATTGTTAAATGTATTTATGCCAAGCTCTAGAGCTTAGAAATTGTTGCAAGACTGAATTCTGATCCCTCGATTATAAAGTTAATTTAAACATATTTACTCAGAATTTACAAAAAAAAAAATCGATTGATTTATAAGTGCTCAGCTTTTAATACCCTGTAATCATTGCACATGATTTAAAAATAACGTCATGCAAAAGCTTTCTTATGTAAAAGGTGGCAGACATTCTGGATTACCATAAAGAGTCGAGTTGATCTGGCCTTATTTGTCTCTTCGTCAGTATAAAAACTTCGCTCTTAAAAATTAGAGATGTTACATTTTAAATGTAGTTCAAACATGTTCCAGGCTGATCGATAAATCGTTTCTTGGAGCATCTCGTGGAGAGCATTGGAGCTAAATACTGCAACTTTTCCATGCAGTTTCTCAAATATAGTTTCTCATACAGATAACTCTATGAAAGCCTTTCCGCACGCTTTTCCCAATTTCGATAAATATCGATCATCTGTAAATCGATCATAAGTATAGATGCTATAAAAAAGAACCTTGGCAAATAGTTTTTTTTATAGGGCTTACATAAATACTCTTTGAAACTCTCTTTACATGCTCTTCCATTTTGACTAGATAAATCCCTCATGCCAGATAAATCCGAATGCCAATTTAAAGCATCAAAAATCGCTCTCTAATAGTTAATTTAAAGCGTAAATTATTTACATACATAAGTTCGAATTGAGAATAGTTCGGCATAGCTTGACGCTTCAAATAAGTAGAAATACAAACTCTGAACTGTTTGCAGAGCATCTAGAAGTCGATCACACTCATTTGTTTGAGTTAAACGCTTTGCTGGGCTCTAAAGTGTCGCCTCAGATTAGTTGCCGTTGCTATTTCAATTTCTATTTTCAATTTTCTAATTTATGGCGGTAATGAATTACGGGCCACAAACAACAGCTGCAATTATGAATGTTTTATAGCCGTGCGAAATGAAAACCGTTGTGCAAATGCCCAAACCGTTCATTCATTGCTTGAGAACCCACACACTTTGTGCATGTGGGAATGTATGTGTATGGTCTGGTCTGGTCTGGTCTGAAAACTGATCAAGCCAATTATCACCTCGATTTGCCACCTGAGACGCCTTCTAATGGGCCCCTCCCCAGAGGCGCCCGTTCGAGATTTTAATTAAATTGCACAATGCGCGGCCTGTCAACAAATGTTTTATTGTTGCACATACATGCACACATGCAGACACATACATATCCATTTACATATATATATATGTTTGCATGCATTTGTAATAGCTGACGACTATTTATAGTGGCACATTGTTGTTGCATTGGGTGGCTGCCTCGAGAGTGTTTCCCTTCGGTTGTGCATATATAACATACACTCAGCGAAAATGCTTACAAATTTGTGCTAAATCTTTGTATTAGAGAAAAGAAAAATTGTAAAGGTTGCCATCTACTAGAAATGCGCAAATGAAATGCGCGTTTATTCTAGGGGGTTAAGATTTTGAAAAGAATTTCGACTAAAAAATATGTGTTCAGATTTGAATGGGAGATTATTCTAGAGGGAAAACCATTGATAAAAATACAAACATCGTACAAATCGGATGAGATTTGACCGAGTTATGGGCATGGGAAGTTTAGACCTATGTCTATAGACGAATCTTGGGGCAAGATTTTGACATGAATTTCGACAAAAAATATGTATTCATATTTGAATGGGAGATTATTCTAGTGGGAAAACCATGAAGAAAAATACAAACATCGTAAAAATCGGATGAGATTTGACCGAGTTATGGGCATGGTAAGTTTAGACCTATGGCTATAGACGAATCTTGGGGTAAGATTTTGACATGAATTTCGACAAAAAAATATGTGTTCAGATTTGAATGAGAGATTATTCTAGAGGGAAAATCAATGATAAAAATACAAACATCGTAAAAATCTGATGAGATTTGACCGAGTTATGGGCAAGGGAAGTTTAGACCTATGTCTATAGACGAATCGTGGGGTAAGATTTTGACATGAATTTCGACTAAAAAATATGTATTTTTTTATTAATGAGAGATTATTCTAGAGGGAAAACCATTGATAAAAATACAAACATCCTAAAAATCGGATGAGATTTGACCGAGTTATGGGCATGGGAAGTTTAGACCTATGTCTATAGACGAATCTTGGGGTAAGATTTTGACATGAATTTCGACTAAAAAATATGTATTCAGATATGAATGGGAGATTATTCTAGAGGGAAAACCATTGATAAAAATACAAACATCCTAAAAATCGGATGAGATTTGACCGAGTTATGAGCATGGGAAGTTTAGACCTATGTCTATAGACGAATCTTGGGGTAAGATTTTGACATGAATTTCGACTAAAACATATGTATTCAGATTTGAATGGGGGATTATTCTAGTGGGAAAACCATTGATAAAAATACAAACATCGTAAAAATCGGATGAGATTTGACCGAGTTATGGGCAAGGGAAGCTTAGACCTATGTCTATAGACGAATCTTGGGGCAAGATTTTGACATGAATTTCGACTAAAAAATATGTATTCAGATATGAATGGGAGATTATTCTAGTGGGAAAACCATTGATAAAAATACAAACATAGTAAAAATCGGAAGAGATTTGACCGAGTTATGGGCAAGGGAAGTTTAGACCTATGTCTATAGACGAATCTTGGGGCAAGATTTTGACATGAATTTCGACTAAAACATATGTATTTTTTTATTAATGAGAGATTATTCTAGAGGGAAAACCATTGATAAAAATACAAACATCCTAAAAATCGGATGAGATTTGACCGAGTTATGGGCATGGGAAGTTTAGACCTATGTCTATAGACGAATCTTGGGGTAAGATTTTGACATGAATTTCGACTAAAAAATATGTATTCAGATATGAATGGGAGATTATTCTAGAGGGAAAACCATTGATAAAAATACAAACATCCTAAAAATCGGATGAGATTTGACCGAGTTATGAGCATGGGAAGTTTAGACCTATGTCTATAGACGAATCTTGGGGTAAGATTTTGACATGAATTTCGACTAAAAAATATGTATTTTTTTATGAATGAGAGATTATTCTAGAGGGAAAACCATTGATAAAAATACAAACATCGTAAAAATCGGATGAGATTTGACCGAGTTATGGGCAAGGGAAGTTTAGACCTATGTCTATAGACGAATCTTGGGGCAAGATTTTGACATGAATTTCGACTAAAACATATGTATTCAGATTTGAATGGGGGATTATTCTAGTGGGAAAACCATTGATAAAAATACAAACATCGTAAAAATCGGATGAGATTTGACCGAGTTATGGGCAAGGGAAGCTTAGACCTATGTCTATAGACGAATCTTGGGGCAAGATTTTGACATGAATTTCGACTAAAAAATATGTATTCAGATATGAATGGGAGATTATTCTAGTGGGAAAACCATTGATAAAAATACAAACATAGTAAAAATCGGATGAGATTTGACCGAGTTATGGGCAAGGGAAGTTTAGACCTATGTCTATAGACGAATCTTGGGGCAAGATTTTGACATGAATTTCGACTAAAACATATGTATTCAGATTTGAATGGGGGATTATTCTAGTGGGAAAACCATTGATAAAAATACAAACATCGTAAAAATCGGATGAGATTTGACCGAGTTATGGGCAAGGGAAGCTTAGACCTATGTCTATAGACGAATCTTGGGGCAAGATTTTGACATGAATTTCGACTAAAAAATATGTATTCAGATATGAATGGGAGATTATTTTAGAGGGAAAACCATTGATAAAAATACAAACATCGTAAAAATCTGATGAGATTAGACCGAGTTATGGGCAAGGGAAGTTTAGACCTATGTCTATAGACGAATCTTGGGGTAAGATTTTGACATGAATTTCGACTAAAAAATATGTATTTTTTTATGAATGAGAGATTATTCTAGTGGGAAAACCATTGATAAAAATACAAACATCGTAAAAATCGGATGAGATTTGACCGAGTTATGGGCAAGGGAAGTTTAGACCTATGTCTATAGACGAATCTTGGGGTAAGATTTTGACATGAATTTCGACTAAAAAATATGTATTCAGATATGAATGGGAGATTATTCTAGAGGG